AAGAGAGTGAAGTATGCTAGCTTTGAATTTCAAACATAACTTTAACCCTGTCAGAAAAGTAATTCTATTTCCAATTTTCTTAATGAAATGTTTTGTTTTTTTTGTTTTTTTGTTTTTTTTACCTTAGCCCTATTTACTATGAGGAGAGGAGAGGAGGGGAGAGAAGGGGAGGGGAGGAGGGAAAGGAGGAAAGGAGGGAAAGGAGGGTGTAGGGAGGAAGGGATGATAGAGGGAGGATGGTAGGATGGGTGGTTGGATGGATGGATGGATGCCACAAGCACCTTCCCGGCCAAAGTTTCAACATATTCTGGAGTTCTGGAAATTTTTTGATCAAAAAACAAATCAGATTAATTATAATTTCTTTATTTTTTTTTAGGAGAGGCAACCCTTGGTTGACCTCACAGATTGCAAGGACTTTGTCAGTTTACAATCCCTTATTTTTTTAAATTTTTACACCTATAGCACCTGGTCGTCCTAGGTGGTCTCCTATCCAAGTACTAACCAGGCTCAACACTGCTTAGCTTCCGAGATCAGAGGGAATCAGGCTTGTTCACAGTAGCATGACCATAGACTATAATTTCTTTAAAAGGTGATTATCTATAGCATTATCTTCAAAAACAATCTAAAAATCTAGTATGGCCTTTAAAAAAATCTTACTACTACTAAGTAAATGCAGTGGAGTTCTTTTTTTCATAACTCCAAAAAGTGACTTTTTTCTACATTTTCGAGTTGCCAATCTTCTAAATTCTTCAAATGTGCTTCTCATTATATAACCCCTAGAGTTCTAGGCTAAATGTTATCCCTAGCAGGGTTCAAGGTATTAATTTTAACAAAATCCTAATGCAATAGTAAAATGTATCACATTTATTTTTTCCTTATCCTTGTTTTTCTCAATATCTTATAAACTTAAGAAAAATGATCTTATGTTCCTAAAACACCTCAAGTTTTATGATGCTTTATTTGTGATATCTGCAAAATAGTGTAGGCAATTTGAATTTCAAAGTTCATAATGCAAAGTATGTACTATAACAGTGAAAATAATTAGTATAACATCCTACTTATCTCAATACCTATATTTATTATAAAAAATTAATAACACCCTTCATACCTGTAGCAAAATGAAAGTTCTCTCCTAAATGAACTAGTTTTTAGAATCCTAAATATCCATACCCATCAAATGTGAACATTAAATTTCAAGGGATAAAAAGAAAAAAAAAAAAAAACAGATGGGCATCTATATTATAGTTTGCAAAGAAATCCTGATAAAGACTTCAGAGGTCAATTTGGTACCAATTTTCCCTCTACCTTGAATCATATGATAATGTGCTTAAAGAAAATATTTTTTCTGTAGTTATTTACATCAAGTTATTTTTATCAGATAGTCTATTAAAAGGTTCTCCAGTTAACCACTCAAACCTCAGCTCTCTGTTTTCCATGTTCAGTAAGATCCTTGGAAAACACCAGATCTTAAAAAAAATTTTTAAAAAGTAACCTAATATTAATTCATTTTCTTCCAAACAAACTATAACTCCTAGTTCTACTCTGGTAACCAATTTTGATCTCTATCTAAGATATAATTAAGCGGCATTCGAAAACAAAGTGCAAATGCACAAATAGGGAATTTGTCATTTCCCCCTCAAACAACTACCAGTTATATAATATTGCTGTCCTCATAAAAGGGAATCCATTACCATCAGCAATTCATGTCCCTGCTTCAGCATCAGATGCAAACAGGATACGGAAACAAGATCTCCCTCCTCCATTTACTTTTTGTTCATTCCAACCTCTGGACATAATCCTCAGTTCCATTCCATTGGCCTGCTTCATTATCTGACACTCCTGATTTTTACCTTCTCAAGTCTTAGTGACTGCCCTAGTGTTACATTTCTCTGATTGCTGTGTTGTCTAAAAACTACAGAATGATTATGCTCATTCCCCCCAATCCCAACAAACCCCTCAAAAAACTTCAACTTAAGAAAATACAGCTTGAACAATTCAATTCAGATTCGAGCTCGTTATCTTGAAAGTCTCACCCTATTCTGTTAAAAATGTTTGACTTTTCAATAGTAATCGAAAGTTGCTTTTCATAAAAATATATCTCCAGTTGGAAGATGTGGGCACAAAGGGCTTTGTTAGAAAAGTAAATGCTTTTTCCCCCCAGTCTTCGACCACGTAACAGTAAATCACTATTAAAACAAAATGAAACAAAACCCACTCTGATTGTGTATCAGCCACCTGAAGTGGCATATGGAAAAAGCACAAGAGTAAAGAACCTTCACTCCACCTCAGCCAAGAAGGGAAGCAACAAATAAAGGCAATTTTCGTAGAAGAAAACATCCAAAGATGTAGAAGCTATTCATTTTAGAAAAGGGGAGAAGAGAGAGAGAGCAATAGAGAGGCTTATGATAGACAGATAAACTAAAATTCCTTTATTAACCTAACTTTAAAAACCAATTGTAAAGTTTGCAAAGCAAAACTGAACCTATCAAAATTTAAAGTGAACAATTGTCTTGATAAAAATGAGATGTTCTGAACTTATTTGGGGCAGAATTATCTTTTAGCCCCATATATAAAACTATTATTGCTTTCTCACAACCTTAAAGTTTTAATATTAAAAACCTAACCCCTTTATCCTATATCATATATATTAAGCCATTCTGGTTTAAAATTACTTCTATGCCAGCATTTTCTAGTATTGTTTTTCAATGAAATCTGTACAATTAATAATAACCTTCTCTCATCTTTCTAGAGAGCCAAGGATGACACATCTCCTTATCTCCCTGTTTGTTCCATTAGATTGACATATTTTGCCTCATCTGTCACCTTCCATAAAACTCTGCTTTCAGATACGAGTTAATTCATTTTTAGTTGTCCTCAAAGTTCTAAAATAGTGATGTTTGACAGAATTAATACAGTGCTCTAGTTCTCTCTGTTCAACTGGTATTTAATTAAAGATCTTGGAGGCCATTTTTTTTCTCAGGTTATACCATTTAAAGAAGGAACATTCCTCCATGGATAATACGAATACACCACACTACATGGCAACAAAGCTGCCTTCCTAAGGTCTCCCATTTAACAGACTGCTTTACTATATATAAACTACCAGCAAGGCAGATTATCATTTTATTTCACTTTGATTTTACTTTTCATATTTTTGAACCACAACTCTACTATACCCTATGTTCTCTTACCTTAGAATTTCCAGAATTTCTGGAGTTTTAACATTCCCGTTTTTGTTTCATCTGGACTTCAAAAAGCCCTAATAGCATTTAATCTGAAGATTTTTGTATCTCTGGTAACAATGTAGAAAGTCTTTAGGCAATCAGAGCTACCTTGGAGCACAAACTAAAAATTCCTGTTTTAAATTCTTCTGAATTAACAGCTTTTGGAGAACAGCCCACTCTGGTATGTCATAACTTTCCATTCTAAAGGTAGCATGGATAATTTAAATTGGCATTTGCTATTTATTACACAAATAATTGTTCTTTTGGATGGCCTTTTGTAAGCTAGCACTTCCTAATCACTTTTTAGCTATATCGGAACCACAAGAGACATGTCAATTTAAGCAAACTTCAGAAGCAATCCACGAACAAACAGACTCTAGGTGGTGGTATAGGTTATTTTTTATCATGATGTTTTTCTTAAAAAGAATCAAAAGAGCCTTTAGTTTCTTTCACAGACACTTCTTCATTGGAAACTAACACTATTTTAGGGTGTTTAAATTAATAAAATCCAAGTTATGCAGAGTTTAGAGACACATGCAAGAAGTGGGTCTAAGTTTTCCCATAGGCGTTAAACTTGGTTTTCAACTACCTCAAAGGCACTGCAGAGAACTCATTAGAATAAAACCAAACAATGAGAACTACTTTTTTTTCCCCTCTCACTCACCTAGGGCAGATTCAGGGATAAGTATGGAAAGAGGTTTTTCCCCAGCAGAGTATATGAAACAGACTAGAGTAACATTTCTACAGCCTACAGAGTAGTAGTTGTTCCACTGACCGACTCTTCTTTGTTTCCAGCTACGAATTCCAGAGAAAAGTTACTATTGGTCATGAAGCCACTAGTCTCAGAACCAATAAAACTCAATCCACATTACCAAATCACTGGGCAAAACCAGTATAACTTACTTCGACACTGAAAAACATTTCAACATACTCCAGGCAGCTGAAGCACCATTTGTTTAAAAAGTCAACTTATTTCAGTGTTTCTTCAACAAAGGTAGCAAACTGGTGATTAAACATTGAATAATTACATCAGGAAGATGCCACCCACTTGTTAAACCTATGATTCACTAATAAGCAGGTTCAATGCAATTCATAACTTTAAAGAATGAATTACCAAAACCCTTTGCTTCACAAATTCTCTCCAAAAATGTAAAGACCATCCATCATACATAACCGTTTTTTACTTCGGACACATATAGACAGTTTCTCTTCCTCTAAACAGTTCTCTCCACCACACACAATCACATTTTAATCATTTACATTACTGGAGAAAAAATCCAACTCAGTTCCACCAACTGAATGAAACGTCCTTGTACCTGGGAACGTCTTATACTTCTTTTCCCCCAAAATGTAATGTCTTATTAAAAAATATTTTAAAAGCTCAAAAGTATTTATCATTCTGTTCTTTTACTATCTTCTGAACCCAATTAAGTCATTAACGAGATAGATGGTAGAAACTCCTGTAATGCTTCAGATCAACATGTGTCACAGGCTCTCAGACAGTTGATTCCTTTGTTCCTTCAGACTGAACACCAACTCTTGATTAAAATTTGGAAACTACTTTGGAAAGGATGGGAGAGTTTGTAGGATATTCCCAGAGAAACCCACTATAAAACAACAACATTCACTAGTAGTAAGGAGAACACAGACGTAGGTGGAGAGAAAAGAAGCCCCCTAAAGCCTCCCAAGACCTCCATGGGTTCACTCTAAATGTGAGCCCGTTTCCTGGCTCAGGGATGAGGCGATGGCTGAGGCCTCGGGTCCAAGGTGCCTCACCCTGGGGAAGGGAAGGACAAGTACTGACGGGCCGGGCCTTGGGGTCTGGCAGGAGCCGGGAGCGCTGTCCTTCTTCCTACTCACTTTTCCCCACCGGGAATCCGGAGAGCTCTGAGCAGGGAGGCACCCGGGCCAGAGGCGGGGAGCTGCGCCCGGCGCCGCCCAGGACGCCCGGGGCAGCAGGACCGAGAGCTGCGCGGCGAGAAGCGCCCCGGACTTGGGGCCGAGGGGGCAGCCGAGCGGGGCACGACCCCTGCCTGGTCACCCAGCCACCCGTGCCCCGCTCGCAGGGCAAACGGCGGCCGCCACTTGACCCAGGACCGGCCGGCGAGCCCGAGGCCAACTCCACAACTTGCCGGCCTCGCTGCCGGGGGCCCCGAGTTCCCGGGGAGATTCGGAGCGGCAGGAGAGGCGGGATTCCCCCGGAAACGATTCCTCCC